AGAGAGAGAGAGAGAGAGAGAGAGAGAGAGAGAGAGAGAGAAGGCGGGGGAGAGGGGATGGGAGAGAGAGACAGGGGAGGGGGAGGCAGAGACAAAAGGAAAGGGAAAGAGAGAGAGAGTTAGACAGAGAGAGAGAGAGAGAGACAAAGAGAGAGTAAGTTTACGCGTAAGTCATGAAAATTTTTAATTCAACGCAGCAATCAATTAGATTTATGTTGATATTTTTGTTTCTTACGTTAGTAAGTGACATAACAACGTAAGCATACAAGTTTACAAACGATGGAAGAGACGGTCCATGTACTAGCGTATTGTCCCTTGCGTTATTAGTGTTTGATTCTGAATTATATGAATTCAACAGGGTGCTTACAATACCCCACGAACCAACTGGATCTCGGTGACTATTAAAAGTATCAAATCCAGATTTTGACACAATTTAGAAGGTAAAAACTGTAATCGAGTGGGTTGTATTATAAACTCGATTTCGGGTGATGTGTCAGTTACGATAGTACATGGTTCGGGAGACGATATCAAGGAGGGAGCTGGGAGATTCCATTAAGACAGCTCTCCGTTTTTTACAGGTTTCCATTAAGGCAGGTTCGACTGTATATAGAAAAGTATTCCCTTTCATAAAAGGTTTTTTTTTCAAGGCAGACAATAACTTATCAACTCAAAATAGCATAGATATCTAGATCTAAATAGAATTACCGCTAGCCCTTATTGTGTCTGAAAAATGACATGCCAAAATTTAAAGCAGCACCAGTTATTCTGCTCGTATTCTGTTTAAGGATTTTTTATTTTTTACTTATGTCTCATGTTCCCGTTTTATATATACGTCTTTTCTAGTAGTATTTTGCATGCTAAACACGAGTATGGTCTTCATTTTTGCCGCAAATCAATAGTTATTGAGTTATTGATGTTCGAAAAAAGTAAATTTAACAATTATTATTATGGGGAGTTTCAGCTGGGTATGCCCCCCTGACGGAAAAAGAATCTGGGGGCTTTCCGGGGGGCATGCCCCCCTGCATTTCACAATGATTTGATGTTTTGGCAATTAGGATTGATATTTCCTTGAAAACAATTGATTTGCAAGGGTTTTAGTGGCCATATGTGCGTTCTACAGCAAAAAATTGTGGCAGTTTAGCTCTCAAATCAATATATCTATGTGTGGGTGCATAAGTAAAAATTTACCCTGTTTTATATATACAGCTGTCAGCTTCTGAAATTGATTTACTCAGGCTGCCAGAGGCTCTCGGGAGGTATTAGAGACAGACCAGGAAAAACGAGCTTAATAACCAAACTCAACACAAAGCCTCAAAGGGGAGGGTGAGGGGTGGGGAGGGATGTTGTGGCTGATTACCCCAATTACAATTTTAAAAGGAGGGATGGTGTGAATAATAACCCCAATTACAATTTTAAAAGCTAAGCTAAGACCTTAACTAAGCGGCAATTAAGCGACTGTATGTAATATTATAATAATATAAATAAAGACAAAATTCATGGATATCATGACAGGATCAATATTAATAAAGGCAAGACTAGATTCTAGATCTAATAAATTATATCCACTTGCAAGGAATTAAATTCAAAAAAACATCCTGACCTCGGTTTTCTGATATAATACAGCTTCACCAAATGCACCGCTTCCTAACACTCTAACAAAAATATACGAAATCGGTATTCCACCGTCCAGTTCGGGAGAATCGGACGCCATATTGTAAATTTGTAAACAACTTTGTTACGAAGGGATAAGATCTGAATTTTATTATTTTTCATACTCTTTCAGATAAAAGTAATATGTATTACAGAATACTAAAATTACACAGTTTCTTTCAAAAATGAGTCATCAAATTGAATACAATCTTTTATTTTTGCTTTGACCCTATTTGTTATTAAGGGAACCAAAAATATTCTGCCAATCCAGGTTTTCTTCAAAATCGTGGACACGCCTACTTTACTTCCCAAATAAACAATACAAAGGGACATACAAGTCTGAGATTGCTGAGAACTGAGGGGGCAACGGTATTCAAGTCAAACTGTCTCAGGACGTTTGACTTAGATTTACACTGTTAAATTATATATTCTGAACATAATAATGGGGTCTCTTTGATTATTTATTTTGCAACTGAACTCAACATCTGAACATAAACATTGAAAATGGTGCTACGAGTCAACATTCCAAGTTTCAGAAAGGTGAAGGAAGATGATGAGATGTACACGGTGAGTGGGTCGAAATTGTAATGTAGAATTGACTTATATTCTAGATACATATATATAAAATTAAATTAAAATGGTACGCTTTGTAATTTGCGGTAGGTCGTACATATTTATACAATACAGTGTATCAATGGTGTTGTGTTGGTCTGTTCCAATTTTATCAAGTAGCCATGTTAGAGAATGACTTTTGTGATCAGGGTTAGAAATTTGAATTTTTACTTTCACTCTCGCACACATATCCACTGATTTGGGGGTCAGTCTGCCGTAATTTTTCCTGCAATTCACATATAGATCTATGGTATTGTATGGCCACTGAAACAGACACAAATCAATTGTTTTCAAGAAATGTTCAAACCTTATTGCAAAACATCAAGCCCCCCTGAAAGTAAACGAATGGAAGTGGTTATTCTCACCCCGAGTGAGAATAACCTATGTCTCGCTTTTCTCACTCCCTCCCTTGTTTTACCGGAAATGACCCCTGAGGGATCAGGGCTGAGGTTTCCGGGGCTGATGCCCCACAGGATCGTGTTGGTGTCCGAATAAACTTACAGTCGAACCTGCCCTGACGGCCACCTCTATCAGTCAGACGGCCACCTGTACAAACGGACACTTTCCATTTCCCCCTTTGCGTTTTTTCTATATAATTTAACTGTGTAAAACGGGCACCTGTCCAACGTGGCCACGGCCACCATATTTTAACGCACAACCCCTATCACACTAAGCAATACACCTGTCTTAGACGACCACCTTAGTGACTCAATTACGTTTTGTCATAAATTGTGCTTTGGCCCCTGGCGTTGTGGGCAAGCCGTCATAATCCAATCACTTGTCGTTGTTGTTAGGTAGTCGCTCCAACTGATTATGTTGCGTAGGCCCCTCCCTTTGTTGACCAATAGGTACCAATTTTCAGCCGCTGGTGAGGTAAGCGTGTGATCCCTCATAACCCATAAGCCCCGCCCAGACGCAAATCGTAAGTGAGATGAGTGGTCACTGTTTACCCAGTCTGTAACAAAGAAACAATGGACATCAACATGAACTTGCGACAGAAGCGTCGCTCATTCTCCGAGTGGTGACAACCCATGTGTTTGTTTAATAAAAACATGGCACTCGGTCTTCCTTGTCTGATACATTTTGT